AAGTGGAAGCCCTCCGCCTGGAGGTTGCCGAGATGAAGGAGAAGTACGAAGCCCTCCTGGAAGAGAACCGGAAGCTGAAAGCGAAGGTAAAGCCCGGGGCCCGTCCGCCGCCTCCCGGGGACAGGCTTGGCGCTGGGCCTCGGGGGGAAGGAACGGCGGACGCGGCTTCTGCTTTCCGTGGGGACTAAACGCCTCCTCCTCCTCCCCCTCCTCAGCTTGCTCAGTACGAACCGCCGCAGGAAGAGAAGCGTGGAGAATAAGCCTTCTTGTGTTACTTCAATAAAAGATCTGGAAGGACACCTGTCTGGTGGCGCCCTGTAGTCATGAGTCTTTCAACTTTTATTTGTGGGGGTGGCCATTTTTAACTGGACCTCTTTAAGTGCAAAGCTCAGTGACTTCCCCGTTATCCATGGCTTTGGGTATGTAGGTCCCCAACCTACGACCATTCACTCAGTGACCGTTCAAAGTTACAACGGCACTGAACAAATGGTGGTCATGACTGGTCTTCAGAGTTCCCAGCAACTGCAGACATGTGATTGCAATCTGGGTACTTGGTAACCAGTTCACGCTTACGACTGGTCACAGAGCCCCACAATCAAATGATCAGCATTTGCAACCTCCCCTGCTGGCTCACCCAGACAGTCTGTGGGGAAGCCAGCATGGAGGGTTGTAAGTGGCTAAGTCTCCCCCATTCACGCACCCTCTGGTGCTGGCCACTCATGCACCCTCCAACCTGCCCCATGCACCCTCCCCAACCCGCACTGTGCCCCTCATGCAACCTCCCTAACCCTTGCGCACCCTCCCTGCCCCTTGCCATGCCTCCCCCACACCCGCCCCAACCCTCACTGCGCCTCCCCCGCACGCCCTCGCTCCCTGCCCCACCCAGCAGCAGCCATTTGCCTGTTTACCAGCCTTGGACTTGCAACTTCCTGCCGGCTTCCCTGCTGACTTTGGTTGTAGGAAGCCGGCAGGAAGTTGCCTCGCCTAATGATCATGGGATTCAGTTAACGATTGCAACTGGGACTACAGGGATTGCTGTCGCTAAGTGATGCAATTGCACTTTATGACCACATCACTTAGCGATGGAAATTCTGGTCCCAATTGCCATTGTAAGTCGAGGACTATCTGTATTGATAGGTCTTGAAGGTTTACACATTCCCCCATAGAAATGACATATTCTAACCATGTTTTTCATTCTAAAAAAGGGAAATTATAGATCGGTGACAGGATGTTGTAGTGATATATTTTGGAATAACTGTTAATGGTACAGAGTTAAGCTGCTATTTACTGGGTGAAAAGATGGAATGTGCCTAAGATTGGGAGGAAGGGAGAATAAAAATAAGGATGCAAAAGTTAGTGAGTATATCATTTCAGGAAGGTTAGCTGTAGTAAAGTGTTAGAGTTAATTTTCCTGTCTTTATTACCCTAATAAGAAGGTAAAAGCTAAGAAATACAAATATAATGAAATTTTTAACAAGGTAAATCAAGTCCAAAAATTATAGAAGTAATATAAAGATGTTTACTTTTTATTGTTAAAAATAAATGTAACAGAAGTTGAAGCAAGTCCTTAGAATTATTACATGTATATAGTCTGCTGAATAAATGTATTAGGGTTATTAGAAAACCCTATTCCGGTCAGCCAAATTTAATCTAACTTGCCACTTAGAAAAAAACAGAAGCCTTAAGGTCGATTTCTAAAATTCCACTTGTTATTTCAGGTAAAATTCTGTATTTGGGAAATAAGACCTCCAGCAAAGGGGTACATAATCACGAGGCAGCACTTACTATCTGGAAATTCCTTCTACTATCTAACTTCTCTACAGTAGTTCTCATCCTTTCCACAGTGATGACAGAACAAGTCCACGCCTTCCCTTCAATAACTCTTTAAATATCTGAAGTCTGCTATCATATCTCTCCTTAGCTTTCTCTTCTGCAGGCACCCAGTTCCCTTAATTGTTCCTCATAGGAGTTGGTTTCCAGTTCCCTCATCATCTTGCTAGCCACCCTCTGAACTGGCTCCAGTTCGTCAATGTCCTTTTTAGGCTGCTGGACAAAGTATTCTGAGTCGGACATGATAAAGGCAGAGTAGAGCAGGACACTTACCTGAACTCTGTGTTCCAGTTAAGCATGCATGCACGCATGCACGCACACATGCATGCATTCATTCTTTCTTTCTTTCTGGCAGCTGCACTACACTCTTAGGTTATGTTCTGCTTGTGATGTATCAGAACATCCAGACTTTTCACATGTATGCCATGCCAGGCTAAAATTCAAAAAATATATTTGACTTTTATTTTTGTTTTCTGGGCTATTTGGGATTCCACCCAATTTTGCGTGATCTAAAAAACTGAGCTTTACTTCTAATCCAAGTAATTTATTTCCTTATTTTATTTATTTATTTATTTATTTGCATTTATTGGCCGCCCAACTCCGGTGGACTCTGGGCGGCATACAAAACTAGAGAAAACAGAAAAACAGCTAAAAACATTAGACAGACAGCAAGATCAACAAAACAAAACAGGCCACTGAACAAATAATAAACATCAACCTCAGGCCTGGGACCAAAGGCAGGTTTTCAAAGTTTTCCAAAACCCTAGGGGAGAAGGCACCATCCTTATCTCTGAGAGGACGCTGTTTCAGAGGGCAGGGGCCATGACAGAGAAGGCATGCTTCCTAGGTCCCACAAGGTGGCAATGTTGATATGCACTGGAAGGCAGAAATAGACAAGTGGTCTCTTGGATATCCAGGCCCTCTGCCACACAGGGCTTTATAGGTAATAACCAGCACCCTGAATTGCACTTGCAGGCAATGCAACTCGCATAGCAGTGGTGACAGATGGGGACACTGAGAGGCACCCATTACTGCTTACACCACTGTATTTTGAACCAGCTGCAGCTTCCAGGTAGTCTTCAAGGGCAGCCCCACGAAGTAATCCAATGGTAATAGTGACCAGGGCATGAGCGACTGAAGGGCCTCTTGATCAAGGAAAGGGCATAACTGGCGCACAAGATGAACCTGTGCAAAGGCCCTCCTGGCTACAGCTGCCACCTGCTTTTCAAGCAGTAGCTGCAAGTTCAGCTGTGAGCCCGAGTTGTGCACCAGTCTTGAATGGGGGAGTGCAGCACCATCCAAGACCAAGAATGGGTACATCCCTGACCCAGGGGGCCCAAACAGCCACAGCCACTCAGTCTTGTTAGGACTGAGCCGAAGCCTGTTCTGCCCCATCCAGACCTGAACAGCCTCCAGACACTGGACACTGACAGCTTCATCTGTGCCACTTGGGGTTGAGATGCAGAGCTGGATAGGTCCCAAACCTCACCCAGTGGTTTCATGTAAATGTTGAACAGGAAAGGGGAGAGCATCAAGTCCTGAGGCACCCCACACGTGAGGGGCCATGGACATAATTTCCTCCCCCCCATCAACACCAACAGGAACCAGAGAGGAAGGAGATGAACCACTGGAGCACAATGCCTCCCACTCCTAACCCCTGCAACCAGTATCTGTGGTCAACAGTATCGAAAGCTGCTGAGAGATCAAGGAGCACTAAGATAGATGCACCACCTCCATCCCGGCTCCACCAAAGGTCATCAACAAATGTGACCAATGCTGTCTCTGTACTGTGATCTGGCCTGAAGCCAGACTGAAGTGGGTCCAGATATAGGTAGTCATTGAATTACGACCATTCATTCAGCGACTGTTTGAAGTTACAACAGTGCTGAATGGACTTACGACCAGTCCTCGAAATTCCAGCTGTTGCAGCACCCCCGCAGTCATGTGAACAAAATTTGGGTGTCCGGCAACCAGCTCACACTTATGACCAGTTGCAGCATCCTGCAGTCATGTGATCACCATTTATGCCCTTCCCTCCTGCTTCCCCCAAGCAAAGTCAATGGAAAGCCGGCAAGGAAGGTCGCAAATCACCCCCACCCCAGCCTTTCTTTGCATGCACCATGCCCTCCTTCCCCCTTCGCTCACACACACCCTGTGCCCTCTTTCCTCAGCCTCCCTGCTATCACACACACATGTACCCTGCACACTCTTTTCTCGGCCTCCCTGCACCCACATGCATGTACACACCCTGTGGGCTCTTTCCTCAGCCTCCCTGTGATCATACACACATATCCTACACCCTTTCCATGGCCTCCCTGCAATCGCATGTACCCCACACCTTCTTTCCTGTTTGCCTGCGATCCACCCGACACCCTCTTTCCTCAGCCTCATGCTGAGCATCCCCTCCCCTGACCTGCATGCAGCCTGTGCCAGACCTCCCAGGGCCTTCCCCACCCCCACCCCTCCGCGACACCCCCGCATTCTTACCTGGGACTCCCTCTGCTTCCCACTTAATGACCTGTGCATCTTGGGTTACTACAACAACTGACCATCAACTACCTGGATTGCTGTTATTAAGCACAATGTCCCAGTCCCAACTGCAGTCATAACTATCTGTAATCCATTTCCTCCCAGCTCCTCTGTAGCTGTCATCCAACCACCTTTCCATAACCTTCCCCTGACCTTTTTCAGTCATCTTTCTCTTAGCCATTCCTCATTTCTTCTAATTTGATAAGCCTCCCTTCAGCCAGATGATGAATAAAACTCTTGAACTGCCCAAGGCCCAGGTCAGAGCCACTTGGCACCCAACTCAGTATTACAGAAGGATGTGATTGGTGGGCTAAGCTGAGCCATTTTCAAAGCAGACTTTTGCTAGAAATGGGTGGTGGTGTGATAGTGTGGAAAATTGAGAAGTACACTGAAGAGAAGAACCATGTTTATTTGGGTGCCTGCTTTACAAGAAAGAGGGACCCCAAATGATGGGAAAGTTAAGATTTTTATAGACATTGAGGGCTACAAGGTGGAAAATTATAGGGACCTGATTTGCTGGCCAGTTTGGGGGAAAGTGTGTAGGCAAGTCCTTATCCCTGGGGTTTGTTCCTGTTGAGGGGCCTTTCAGGAGGGCAGCATGGGGAAATCCATTGTGAAGGAGATGGAATGTCAGTAATCAGGCTGATTGAGGATGGGTTTCTTACCTTGTTACTGTTTCAAATCCCTTGTTAGGGCTGTCCTTGGGCTGTGCTGTAAACTGGTGAGAGGATTCTTTTGTGTAGACCGGATTGCAGGGGACTTTGTCTGAGGGCAGGGAGGATCAATTTGGATCCAATGGGATTTGGCAAAGACAGGAGCTGGGTTTGACCCTGGTCACTTTTATTAAACGGTGTAGCCCTCCATTTTATTTGCTCCATTTATTTTCTCCACCATGTTCGGTGATGGCATGTTGGAATTTCTGGTATCATTTGGTATCATAATCCTTTGTCTAGCTGGCTGGGAGATGGGTATTCTGCTTTCTTTGAGGGGCTTGGGGGCAGTAAGCGGTTAATAAAAGTTTATTTGGAACTTACTCCTGTTGGGGGAAAAATGGCCACTCAACATAAGGTACCAAAGTTTTGGAGTTAAATGACATTAAGTATCCTTTATTGGCATGCCCGACTACAGTGATCCCTGGGCTCTGGGCCAGAATGCAAAAGAGCCCAGAACGAGGCAAGGATATGGGCCATATACTACTAATAATGATTGATCAAACTGGTATGCTGCCCGACTCCCAACGACTCTGGGCGGCTCACAACAATCAAACAAGGAAATTACAATAAAATCAATAACACATAAAAAAAAGATAGAGGATAGAAGGTGAGGGTGATGAAGCGAGGGGTCTCCCTCTCCCTCGCCGAAGGCCTGCGCGAGGAGCCGGGTCCCCGCCGCAGTGGTGGCCCATCCGGATCTGGGGGGGCTCAAACCGGAGGGCAGGCGCTGCGGGAGGGAAGGGGCACTTCTGGGCTCCGGAGAGACGCCGCTGTTCGATGGAAGGAACCCGGAGCGCGCCAGCCCTGCAGGAGGGAATGGGCCGGGCAGATCGAGCCGCGGCGTTTCCCGGGGAGCGCAACCTCCGGGAATCCCTTACTACGGCCCCGCCTCGACGTTCTTCCCCGCCACCGGGATTCTCCCCCACCCTGGCCAGGGACGCTCGCACAGTGCATCGTAGGCCGCATCCCTCTTCTCTACAGGTCGCCCGCCGGCTGTCGGTGCCCTTCCCCTGCTCCTGCCACGTGCCGGGCTCCCTGCGAAGGGGCCTGGGGCGGAGGGGGCTTGCCAGGCCGCTTCCCTGCTTGCCTGCCCGACACCCCCAGCCCAGAG